GTAGTCTACTTGTTGTTAATTGTAGTACAATTAATCTTGGCTTCTCTGACCATCTGTTGATTTTTTGTGAGCTATCATTACAAGGGGGGTTGTATCTAAGGTTGTAAAATTAGATACAATTTGCGAGGTAACGAGTATAACAGGGATTTAGATATTATGAACTGGTAGGTGTATAACCTTTCTTCTATTGATGACAAGGTTAATTATTTTAACAAAGTTGATTTCTTTGGTGGATGTCCATGTTCTCGTTATTAGGAATGAAACTCTTTGCCGTGGATTACTGTCAACATAAAGAAGATGATGGCTCTTCAAGAGTCTACTCTAAGCCGTTATAGGAGAACGAGAAATCCTGCACATTTTCGGTGTTATAAGCAGTTACGTAATTTTGTTACGGGTGCTATTCGTCGTGAGAAAAGAACTTTTATTGAACGGAGCTGTATGATGAAAGGTCCTAGTTTGATATGGAAGACTCTGAGAAAATTTAATTTTGTTATGCTCTCTGTCATATTTTCAACTTTTGTCTGACAATGTCGGTTTCTCCTAAGGCATCGAAATGTGGTCTGGTGACTCCTGTTCCTAAAACTAAACCAGTTAAGGAATTCAAAAATTGGAGGCCTAGTACCATCCTTCCGGTTTTGTCGAAAGTGTTAGAGAAAATTATGGCGGAGCAACTAAGATCCTTACTTATAATATACTACCTGGTAAACAACCTGGTTAGAGAAATCAGTAGTTGTGCCACAGCCCTTCTTGACTTAACCGATGATATACAGGGTGATTTATTAGCTCACCATCAACCTTTGACATATGATAGTTAATCCAATTACCAAAAAAAATGTTACTGAACCTATATCAATTATTTACGAAATTATAACACTTTAAAGTTTTAATTCTTATATCATAATTAACTGCAACATTTTTTTTAAAACACATAAATATTAGAAATATTGTTCAAAATAGCCTCCTTCTGCTAGAATACATACTTCACAACGACGAATTGAAAGAGTTCTTCAGCCGAATTATGTATGGTTGATTTCTTGTTGCAGTAGCAGCTATTTGTATTCTGTTTAATAACTGTTCTCGTGTGTTAATTTCCACTTGATATACAATTTGTTTCATATGACCCCATAAGTAGAAATCCAATTGGTTTAACCTCTCGACAACTACTCTTCCGCGATGAGGTGAGGCACCATCGTGCTGGTACCACATATTTTGAATTACATTAAAAGGTATATCTTCAAGTAAATCAAAAAGTGTATTGTTAAAAAAAATCTGTAATTTACAGCGTTCTAACGTCCATCAAGTACATGCAAACTTAGTAAATTGTTGTTAAATATTCCACCCAAAACGTTGATGCTGAAACGTTGAAATTTCCTTGGTCTAATCACATGCGGATTTTATAATGCCTACATATGTTCATTAGAGTAATTATTTATACCATCTCGTGTAAAACATGATTCATCTGTCCAGAGAACATTTGAAATGAAGTCATTATTTCGGGGATCTTGCTGCAATAACCATTCACAAAATGCTAACCGTTGCTGATTATCTCCTGGCTGTAGAGTTTGAACGTTCTGTTTACGATAGGGATGAAGGACTTCGCGGTTAAATACTCGCCATGCAAAATTTTGACTTCATGTATGATGTGTGCTATTCGTCGAGTGCTGATGGAAGGATTATCAATGACAGCATTAATTACAGCTTCTTCATCCTCTACATTAACTACATGCGACCGAATAGCTTTTGCTGGAGCAGGATTACCTGTTTCTCGAAGTCTTCTGAAAGAATCGCTAAAAACTGAATAATATGACAAATGAGGCTGTGGAAACCTCTTTTGATATTCTCGTACTCATTGTCGAGCATTTCCATTGCAAAAACCATACACGAAAATTATATCAGCATACTCTTCAGTGCTATAAGCGTATATTTTGAGTTTCTTCTTTCTAAGCCTTACAGCAAACTGACATTACAATGACAACTTTCTTTTAGTTGAATGTTTGATTTTACTGACTATTAATAAATTCGCTGCAGAAAACTTAAAAAATTTTTTTTTTGGTAATTGGATTAGCTATGATATGTCAAAGTTTGATGGTGAGCTAATAAATCACCCTGTATATAGTAATTTTTCCATAATTTTTTCCACAAAGACTGCGACAAGTCCACAAAGACAGTTTAGCTTTGTGCAAAATTCCCTGCAAATGTCCATTCCATGCCAAGGTTTTGTCTAGGATTACTCCTAGATATTTGACTTCCTTTGAGAAAGGAATTTCTTCACCTTGGATAGTTGGGCGGATTAGTCCATCCAACTTTCGTGCCCTTCACCAGGAGGGCACAACAATTGTCTTTTGCGGGTTTATCGGGAGGTTCTCTCCCTTACACCAAGCGCAAATGGTATCTAGGGTCACCTGGAGAACTCTTTTTTGATAGAGAACTTCTCTATCAACTAAGTTGTGTAGAGCCAATTCTGCAGATTTTCCCGCTTGATAAATATACTGGTGGCGACTCAATGGACCAGATACCAATGGCACCGTACGGATATACCGTTCCATAACTTTTTCAAGGGTGTTAGGCTGATGGATCGAAAGGCATTAGGAATAGGGATCGAACGGCCCGCTTTGCGTATATAAGATACCCTTACTTTGGTCCATTCTGCCGGTACATATTTCCAGGCGACACTCGCTCTGAAAATTTTTACCAAAATTGGCAACAACAGTGACCTTCCTTGCTGTAACAAAGCAGGAAAGATATTGTCATCTCCAGACGATTTGAACGGCTTAAACGTTTGAACCGCCATGATATCTAATAATAATAATAACAATTTTAATTTATTTTAATTAAGCTTAGCTTGGTGCTTACTGAAAAAACATTTCATGCATTTAAAATTTTGTCAGATTGTGCATTTGGTTTCAACTCCAGTGTATCTTGTTGAGCTATGTTTCTTACATATTTGGATGCAACACCTTTATAACATTGAGTCCCCTTTTTTAACTTTTCAAGTTTATGAAGTTTTGTAGTGTTGTCTCTAACTATTCATTCTCTAAACTCAGTAATCTTCCTATGTTTTCCTGTAACAGTGGAGTAAATTGGCAGAACGTTTACAACTGCAGTATTCAGTAGTATGTCAAACGCTACCTTCCTATACCACTTTATTATCGAGTGGGGATGTTGTGTGAGGTCATTTGGTCTGCGACATCAATAAATGATTTACTATTATTATAGTCGATTACTGCTTGCGCTTTAGTTGCGTCTCCACCTCTTTGAGTTACCTGTTATTGCTAGGTGTTTTGTGCTTACCATTAGTACATACCTACAATCTCTCCACTCTAGTACCGTAACGCCATTATCATTTTGTAGCGACAAGTTCACCTTTCTTTAATTTCTTTTTTGTTACACCCACTGGATTTCATTTTCGGTTTGTAGGCACTCGGGATTGTAACTAATATTTTGTACTCTATTTTGTATAGGGTCTTTCCGACTTGTAGTCGTTTGCTACTCAGGCTCTGTCTGCAATTCTTCTCCTGATGAAGAACTACTACCACTATGATCGTCAGATTGAATAAAATTAGGATTGGTGTCACTACCTGAACTATTCTCGCTCGATGTCTCTTCTTATTTTCTCATCCTTTAGTTCAGAATATCTAACCATAACGTATAACAGTAAATTAACAAGAAACACATAACTATTGTGTCGCCAGTTGTAACTCCATAAAAGATAAATGACACATTCACAAATGATTAACCAAAGGAAAGGGAATTGAGTAGAAACAACTATTGGTCTATTTATAATCAAAAAAATTAACTACAAAATAAATATCATTCAAGTACCACAATATTCATTACTAAAAAGCACCAAATAATAGATTTCTAGCACCATAAAGGCGTTGTATGTAAATATACCAGGACACACCTCAATGTACCAGAAACGATACACATGGCAGTCAACCTGTTAATAAATGAAGTTTTTTACTTAATTTACAAGTCTCTGGTTTAAATTCACTTCTCTTTAGATGTAGGTTATTTGTAGGTTATTTTAAATGTCACTTTTGACACTTCAAATTTAAAAAATTGGCGGGGAAATTTAAATAAAACTTTAAATTACAAAAAAAATAATTAACAATAATTAAAATAAATGTTAATAACAAATAATTTGCAAATGAATTATTTTATAAAAAGATCATTTATATAAAAAAAATGTATTTGACGTTTAAGAAAATAAAAATGTCAATTTGACAGTTGATCTGACGTTTTAAAATTGTTAAAAGAACTTTTTAATTTCCATCTATAACATACAGATGATACAGAAAATGGGGTGTTCTTTGCAATGATAATGGAAGGAAGGTTTTGTTGTTGATCGAAATCGAGTTGTACAAATCTTAGCTGAAACGTTGGAGGATCTTGTATTTACACAAGTTTACAAATGCGATACGACTCAATTTCGAACACGAACTATTTGAACTGAAACCGTAAAAATCTATACAAAGACAAATAATCTTTAAAGAAATAGGTTAAAAAGAAAAGGTAGACTTGAAACTGAGTCGTAAACGAATCCGCGTTACAACTTGATTTGATTAAATTTTACATAACTTATCAGATTAAAACCCCTCCGGAGAGTGTATTTCATGAATAATTCATGAGGTAACCGAAAAAAAAAGTAAAAAAAAACATGTACATGAGGTAATCTGTGACAATTTACTTTATATTTTTACCTGACTAATCAACAGTTTAATAAATTAATTTTGCAAAAGTAAATTTCATTCCTAAAATAATAAAATAAAATAATTCTTGTTGTTGAACTTGACCTATTTGATATGCATCGATGTCGTCGAAACTTCACATATTCCATAACCCACCTACTCCAACATAATCTAAAGTACTCAGAGAGAACTTCAAATCAACTTCGAAACCATCTTAATACAATCATAAAATTAATTATAAGACGATTAAAATTTTAAGCTTATTTAATAAATTTAATGTTTAAATATATCAAAATTAATTTGATTATAGATGTGGAGGATTTTATTGGTCGTCTCAATATGGACAATATCAACAGGAACGGGAGTTGTTATCGCTGAAAACTACGATTTATTACCGATTTGGTCGATTTTCAGAAACATTCATGAAGATAAACCACAAATAAATAACGACGAGTTTTACATTAAAGATTATTCTTTCATGATCCCAATAAATAAATTTAACACAGACGTAAAAGGTAAGTTCTTTTAAACTTAAATATTTACGTTGAAACATCAACAAGATTAATGTCGACCTCTATAAACATCGAAATTAAGATCATCGTAATATTTTAATAAATCCGGTCAAAACCGACGTGTTTAAACACACGTTACACTTTGACGCGTACGTTTATCAAATTTACACGGTATTTATTCGAATCAAACAGTTGGGTTAGTTGAGGGGTTGAATTTGATATTTTTTAAAAGCACGAATCTCTGTTTGCATTTCCCGTGAGTTCAAATATGTGCAGTACATTTTTTTACAAAAATATCGATTTCCTAATCCTTTTTTTACAATTAAAAAAAAATTCTTCTTTCCTAAGTCAAAAATGTTGAAACTTTGTAACAGAATTAAAACCCTATCAAAATGCACTCAGTAAAGGCCTTTGGAATCAATTTTAGCAAAATATGACAATCCCCATTCCAGGGAGATAATGGTCAGGCATAAAATATGTTTTAGTGATGTTGCAGTATACAAAAACCTTTATTACTAATATAAAAATAATACATTTTTTATTACGTTAGAAAATAACTAACACTTGCTTTAGCTAAATCACATTATGATATTCAGAAAAATAGTTCTTTCTTTCATTACAACATAAATAAACATTGCACGCAGTACATTTTGAGTGGGGTCTGGAGTGAATAGCTTTGGCAGAACAATTTTCACATCTTCCTCTTTCTTTTCCAAAAGTAATCTAGTGCGAACCACGGTTCCCAAGTCTTACGTCATCAGTGTACTGGTAATCTTGCGATACATGAATGTTTCTAGTTCTAGGTCTAATGTTAGTTCTAGTGACAGTGGTAGGTAGCGCTAGTTAGCATATGATATCACTATGTTACATTCTTCTATTGAACTAAAACTAGAACAAACACTAGTGTTAGTGTTAGTTTTAGTTTTAATTGTTACGCAACGTTAGACCAAGAACTAGAATCATTTGGGTTTAGCCGTCTTAAGAGACGTCCGGCTAAACCCATATGTTTCTAGTTCTAGTGACAGAGCAAGTATAAAACTAGAATTAAAGCTACACCTAGAGCTAGAATCATTCGGGTTTAGCCGCACGTCTCTCAAGACGGCTAAACCCGAATGATTCTAGTTCTAGGTCTTGTATTAGTTCTAGTAATAGTGCTAGTGGAAAACTAGAACTAACACTAGACCTAGAACCAGAATCATTCTACATGGTAACAGTGCTAGTGTAAAACTAGAACTAACACTAGACCAAGAACTAGAATCATTCGGGTTTAGCCGTCTAGAGAGACGTGCGGCTAAACCCGAATGATTCTAGCTCTAAGTATAGCGTTAGTTCTAGTTTTACACTTGCACTGTCATTAGACCTAACATTAGACCTAGAACTAGAAATATTTGCATGCAGTAAATTTGTATATTTATTTATCAGACCTGTAGCTACAGAATGACGAAAATCTAATAGCGTCATCCTTTCCTCTTCACATTCAGAATATATGACAAAAAAAATTGACGAAGCATATATCTGTAAAACCAAAGAAAAGCCTGTCACTTGGAATGGCGGTCGATTGTATGTACAGGTGTCTCAATTTCGATGTCCACATAGGCCATCCGAAACTAAAAGAGATACAAAAAAAAGTAGCTTACATGTCATGCTCTCGTTTTTCGAGAAAATGCTATTGCCGAAAACTCCGAGCAGCTATCGTCTTTTGTTTTCGCCCTATCGGCAAAAACTGAAAATTTTGCAAAAGCGACAATCGAATATCTCACTTATCATCAAAGATGGAGTATNGTTTAGCCGTCTAGAGAGACGTGCGGCTAAACCCGAATGATTCTAGCTCTAAGTATAGCGTTAGTTCTAGTTTTACACTTGCACTGTCATTAGACCTAACATTAGACCTAGAACTAGAAATATTTGCATGCAGTAAATTTGTATATTTATTTATCAGATCTGTAGCTACAGAATGACGAAAATCTAATAGCGTCATCCTTTCCTCTTCACATTCAGAATATATGACAAAAAAATTGACGAAGCATATATCTGTAAAACCAAAGAAAAGCCTGTCACTTGAAATGGCGGTCGATTGTATGTACAGGTGTCCCAATTTCGATGTCCGCATAGGCCATCTCCGAAACTAAAAGAGATAGAAAAAAAGTAGCTTACATGTCATCATCTCGTTTTTCGAGAAAATGCTAATGCCGAAAACTCCGAACAGCTGTCGTCTTTTGTTTTCACCCTATCACGCTATCGGCAAAAACTGAAAATTTTGCAAAAACGACAATCGCGAATATCTCACTTATTATCAAAGATGGAGTATTATAAATAAAACATTATATTATTATGGGCAACTTTTTACGAAGAATTCAGTGGCGTAGGTAGAANTTTGATATGATGCGGGTGATACTGTATTAATGATTTCAAGATTTTGCCTTTGTTTTTTTTTCTTTTTATTTGTTATAATTCATAGAATTTTTTTTTTATTTTACGGTTGGATAGAACAGACTATTCTGGATCCCGCCGTTTGATCTCCATATATTATGTACATATTTGTATTGTAGTTTCTTTTTTGTAATGGAGACAATAAAGTCATTTATTATTATTATTATTATAACATATAGCATTCCCATCATGTTACATTTTTCATAATTTGCGAAGTTCATTGTAACGTTTTATTCAGTTTTGTTATACTTTGACACTTAACATGCTAGTAGCACATAATGCCAGAGTTGTTATCGAATTTTTAAATACAAACTTTGGAAATTATTCGATACATTATGTTCCATCATAGTATGTATGGTTATCACCATAGCAACATTAACTTTTAAATACATACATTAGTTTTAGATAGAACAAAATGAATTTTTGTTAATTATTCAATAACTATAAGAAATATACCCCACAAACTATATATATTTGTTATCAGAAGAAAATAACAAATTATTTTAAGTCATAGCCAACTATGGTTTCCATTTAAAAAAATAAAGTTACGTCTAAAATCTCGAAAATAAAAGATGGGAAAAAAATTCTACCTACGCCACTGAATTCTTCGTAAAAAGTTGCCCATATAATGTTTTATTTATAATACTCCATCTTTGATAATAAGTGAGATATTCGCGATTGTCGTTTTCGCAAAATTTTCAGTTTTTGCCGATAGGGCGAAAACAAAAGACGATAGCTGTTCGGAGTTTTCGGCATTAGCATTTTCTCGAAAAACGAGATCATGACATGTAAGCTACTTTTTTCTATCTCTTTTAGTTTCGGAGATAACTTATGCGGACATCGAAATTGGGACACCCTGTACTTGTCGAAGTTGTTTTTTGTGGGACCTTATTGTTCCACAAGCACAGGTTTTCTCAATTTTCAGTTTTTAAAAAATTATCGAAATAAATCATTCTATTTTTTCACTCATCTTCAGTAAGTTGAAGGATAATCCTTTCACCTTAATCCATAATCTTGAAATTTTTCTTCAGTTTCAAGAGATTTTCTCTTAAACACATCAAATTTCTTTATCTACCCTTTCTTATCTGGGCTTCATGAGATTGAATTATTTCATACTTGACCTCCCTNTGGATTTTAGACGTAACTTTATTTTTTTAAATGGAAACCATAGTTGGCTATGACCTAAAATAATTTGTTATTTTCTTCTGATAACAAATATATATAGTTTGTGGAGTATATTTCTTTTAGTTATTCAATACTTACAATTAACAAAAATTCATTTTGTTGTATCTAAAACTAATACCTATATGTATTTAAAAGTTAATGTTGCTATGGTGATAACCATACCATGATGGAAAACATTGTTTCCAATTATTGCCAAAGTTTGTAGTAGTCAAGGACAGTAGAATCTAACAGGACTGCTACATCCATTGTGTTTTTGTAGTCCACTGCGGATTGGTTGCCCGCACTCTACGTCACACTATTTGCCACGCCTGGTAACTGTCTGTGTTTAGAGGTTATATAATAGACATTAATACGTCTAAAAACATAAAACTTCAAAAATAATATGAATACGTCTAAGATATAACCTCTAAAAACACACAGCAAACGCAGACCATAACAACAGCTGGGCGTGGAAAATGGTGTGACGTAGTTTGCAGACAGGTTGTCACAACAATGGATGTAGCAGTCCTGTTAGATTCTACTGTCCTTGGTAGTAGTATTTAAAAATTCACTAACAACTCTGGCATTATGTGCTGGTACTCCGTCATATTGAAAATATATCATTTGAAACATATATGATGGCAAATTGTCGACCAAAGGCTCAATGTGTTGCCTTAATATATTGAGGTATTTACCTGACTAAGTTTTTATGGTAGATACTATATGCCAAAATTCTATTATCTAAAAGGGCACACCATACATTGAACCCCAATCTTCTTTGAACACTCAAAGACATCATCGGTCCAGATGACATTTTGAACAAACAGCAATTATTTAATTTTTCTAAATATCATCTACCAAATTCTAACCTTCGATTAACATCTCCGGCACGTAAATAATGAGTTAGCCCCGCTTTGTATGGTTTATTCTTATTTTTATTTCATATTCGGGAGCAACGGCTTTTGGGTCAGATGTCTTGTTCAATTTCTCTGCAAGATGTTGATGGATTTATCGCAACTGAAGCCAACACATTAAATCATCTTCATGCAGGTCATTTTGGCATGTTTTTGCACGTGGTTTGGGTAAGGACCAAAAATCTATTAAATTTTCTGCTAATCGGCTGAAGGTTCTTACGTGCGATTGTTCGCGGCTAATGTCGCATTCTTATCTGATAACATACAGCGTGTCCCGTATCTTCCGCATCAGAGCATTATACGGTTGTAGAATACATTATTCTGAAGCGATCTTTCTAATAAAATTTTTTCGAAATGTTTATAATAACCGCACGGGAACTGTTTAACGACGACCAATAACGGACAACTTTGATTCATCGAAAAAGTTTATTTCTCTTTCCATGACGANCTTGTTAAAAAGTTATCGAAATAAATCATTCTATTTTTTCACTCATC